AGCCTGGCCTTACTACTAGGAGCAAGGACGCTACTAGGAGCAAAGGGCATAGCTACTAGGAAGAAGGACGCTACTAGTAGCTCCTGGCCTTACTACTAGTTACTATATAGTAACAGGAAGCTACTAGGAACAAAGGGCATCGGTACTAGGAGCAAGGACGCTACTAGTAGCTCCTGGCATTACTAAGTCCAAGGTCTTAGATGTCATCATTCTTACTCGTAGCAGCTCATGCCGTAGCACAGCAGGATGAGGAGATGGTGGAGATGCCACAGCGGGCCTTACCTGCAAAGCCAGGCAAGCTCACAAGCCGTCGCAAGCTGCAATTCCTTGGCAAGTTAGTTCACACACCAGACATGCCACATGTGTTCTACACCCACACGGCCACCGTGGCACGGGGTGTCCAGCCGAAGAGCTCAGTGCGCTTGCACACGGCAGGTGTGCCGCTCTTTGGGCCGTTGCACCAGAGGAAGGAAGCATTTCGAGACTTGGGGGAGGAGATCACCAACATCCTTAAGATTCAACATGCAGAGGCCATCGCTAGTAATGTTGGAGGTTGGAGGCCATGGCCATTAGGTTGGAGGCTTTCGCTAGTAGGTTGGAGGCCATTGCTAGTAGATTCAACATGCAGAGGCTGGCTTATGCTCGCATGGATTCATTGTTTTTGATGCCTGTTTGCTGATGTTTGCTGGCAGTTAGAATGCCCTCAGGGCAGGCATTTGAGATTGTCTCCTACTGTCTCCTACTCACATTTTTGGCAAGGACGCTACTAGGAACAAAGGGCATCGGTACTAGGAGCAAGGACGCTACTGGGGGCTCCTGGCCTTACTACTAGGAACAAGTGCATCGCTTCTAGCAACAAGTGCCTTACTAGTAGTAACAAGGACGCTACTAGGGGCTCCTGGCCTTACTACTAGGAGCAAGGACGCACAAGTCTCGTGATGCGGATCATAGCGCTCCAGGTGATGCAGCGCTTGGACCAACAGGAGACTTCGGTCAATCAAGAGGGCCATATATCGGTCAATCTATATAGTGGTCCGAATGGTTTCAGATGTTTTTAAGTTAAACATGTGTGAAGCATCCCATTTTGTACCACATATCGACCTCCGTATCGATAAGGTTTGATAGGGGTAGCTGCAAATGGCATTCAAACCTTCGATGAGTTGATGTCGGACACCACCATGTACAATCATATCTCTTCGGTGCTGGCCCCCAACCTAGTAGCGACGGCCTCCAACCCACTAGCGATGGCCTCCAACCGAATAGTGATGGCCTCCAATTTATGTTGATTCGCTTTCTGTTTCAGGATCGGACCTTGCGGGAGCTTCGGGATGTGAACGGTGCTGGAATCCGACACAGGCCATCAGTGAAGTCCGGGCGGGGAAGCATCAACAAGGACGGGAAGGCGACGGGAAGACCAAGGGATGTGGCAACCCGGGCGGCTAAAAGCGGCTAGGTCGGCTAGGATTTCCAGGGATTTGAGGATGAGGTCTTGTGGACCAGCATGTTTTCTTCGTTTGTGATTTGAGAAAAGAACCAAGAAAGAGAAGGAGAAACACCAACCTAGTAGTAGCGATGGCCTCCAACCTAAGACCTAAGAGCGATGGCCTCCAACCTACTTGGTGATTTGATACTACATGATATTGCAATGTGACTTTCTCGAGAGATGGTCCTAGTCTTCGCAGGACAAGAAGTCTGTCCACCTTGACATCCCTAAGGCAGGCTGTTTTTCCAAGCTGGAAAGGTCGCGTGCTAGGACCCTAGGTGAACTCGCCATCGCCGAGCTTTTTGCGCAACGCCCAACGAAATAGTATGGTTCAGGTGAAACAGAAGTCGACCTTCACTCCTAAGCTCTTCAGTGCTTTGGCCCACAAAATGAGGAGCAAGACAGAAGGCGCAGTGGCAGTTCTCCCATGTTCTTCCTTTCTCCGAAAGGGCGACCAAACGAAAGAAGCAAAAGGCATTTCAAACAGCTTTCAAACTTGTCACTGGATAAGCTTCAAAAGACATCTCAAAAAGCAGTCTTTGGGCGAGTTGGGTCCAGCCGAGGTTCTTTGACAGCAGTAGACCTGAAGCTCAAGGCTGGTGCGGCAGACGTGGACGCCGAGGCTACCAAGGTGTGGCCCGGGAGACTTTTTTTGTGAGGAACGATGCGGACCACATGAAGGATTTTTGTTTTGGTTGGAGGCCATCGCTATTAGGGTGGAGGCCATCGGAAGTAGGTTGGAGGGAGGCCATCGCTACTAGGTTGGAGGCCATCGCAAGTAGGTTGG